AAGATGTCTGGTGGAAGTCTAGCCATCTCAACTGAGTTCCAGGGAAGCAGAAAGAGAAAAGAGGAAAGGAAAAAAGAACTGACCTCCTGGCTAAGTCCAGCTCCTTTAAGGCACTGTCCTGAAACTCCGCCTAAGGATTTCTGTTTACTTTTTTACTGGCCACTTCTAGGTGTAAAGGAGGGCTGAGAAATATATCTCTAGATTTTGCTTCTATAAAAGTAAGGTTCTGTTAGTAAGGAACTGGATATCGGGTAGAGAAGTAGATGTTTCTGTCCCAAAAGGAAAGAACGTACAAGGATTTACAGATTAAGGTTTTTTTGTTTGTTTGTTTTTGTTTTTTGATGCAAGAAAAGGAAATTGAATTGGTTAATATTGAACAGACTGGGAATTTCTGTGAATGTCTGCAGCAAGGTCATCACTGGAGAAAGAGGATATCCACAGAGACACTGAGAAGAATGGTGGATAAATTTGCAACAGTGTTATGAGAAAATGAAGGGAACAGCAGCTGACCAGACTAGCATATAAAAGAATGTTGAGCAGTGCTAAGGGCTTAGCAGGAGTTGGAGATCATTAATTTGTCTTGGTATAAAACTGAATAACTGTGGGATTTTCTGTTGCAGTGTTCAGCAAGTAGGATACAGGAGCATGGTTAAATTCATTTCACATTGTGTGTGTGCTGTGTATAAGCCAGAAAGACTCAAGGGAGGGAAAAATTATTTTGGCAGAAGTGGACAAAGAAGGCCTAGAGAAGGTGTGGGATTTTTATTCAGACCTCAAAATGCAGGCAGGAGTCTGTTGGGAGGCGAAAGAATATTAAGCAGAGGAATGAGACAGGAGGTGGGATCAGACGTGGGAATGGAGAAAGCATGTTAGAAGACACAGTAAAGCAATCTGGCTGAGTGGGAGGGCTACAGAAAGGCCCACATGGAAGGAGGGTGTGGAAAGGGCACATCTGACAAAGATCGCGTAAAGTATAAACTCTCTAGCCTCAAAGTCCAAGTCATATTTTCCAGGCAGTGGGGATCTGATGAAGGTTATTGTGCAGGAGAGTGATTAAAGAAGATTAATGTGGTGCCAGTCTGTTCCATCCAAGGATGGGAGGGAGATTGGCTGCAGGCAGGAGAACTGGTCTAGGAGGCTGGCAAAGGAATCCGACATTCAGGAAACAGAGGAAAGAGGGTTAGAGACAAAGGACAGAAAGTCACCCCCACTGTGCTCCCAGTACTTCTCACACTGCAGAATTCTTGTTCTCAAATGTGAGTGACTTGCACAGTGTTTCTCTCACCCTGTGAGGCCCTTCCTTCCCTCCTTCCTTCCTTCCCCTCCCTCCCTCCTTTCACTTCTTTCTTTCTTTCTTTTTTCCTTTCCTCCCCTCCCCTCCCCTCTCCTCCTTCCCTTTCTCCCTTCTGTGTTCTTTCTCTATCTACACAGAGAGAGATAGAGAGGGGCGCAAGGTGGGGGAGGGGCAGAGGGAGAAGGAGAGAGAGCTTTTTTTTTTTTTTAAAGATTTTATTGATTTATTTGACGGAGAGAGGGAATGCAAGCGGGGGAGTGGGAGTGGGAGAGGGAGAAGCAGGCTTCCTGCTGAGCAGGGAGCTGGACTCCCGGCTCTATCCCAGGATCCTGGGATCATGACCTGAGCCGAAGGCAGACGCTTAACGACTGAGCCACCTAGGCACCCCAAGAGAGAGACTCTTAAGCAGGCTCCAGGATCAGTGAGAAGCCTGACATGGGGCTTGATGTCACAATCCTGAGATCATGACATGAGCTGAAATCAAGAGTCAGACACTTAACCAACTGAGCCCAGGAACCCCTCTTCCTCCCTCCCTCCCTCCCTTTCTTCCTTCCTCCCTCTCTTCCTTCCTTCCTCAATACTTATAGAGTATTTACTCCTTACATACTGGATGTACAAGGCACTGAAGATTCAGAGAAGGAAATCTAATTCTTGTGGGGAAAGCAAACAAGTAAGAGAACCAAGTGACATTCAGCAGGTGACCAAGTAGAAGTGTGTGTCAGGTTTTAGGGGTACACAGAGTAGGGGCCTCTACTCTGTTATGGCAGAGAAAGTATCAATTGAACTCAGCCTGGAAAAATCACAAGGAAGTTAGGGAGTGGGGTGGGGGGGCGGGAGGGCTTCAGGAGCGCTAGTTGCCTGGGGAAACTGCATCCCGCGGTGTGTGTGCAGCAGGGAAGGGCCATGAGGTCAGAGAGGTTAGCAGGGCCTTATGTGTCCTGATAAAGAATTTAGGTTTTATTCCAAACACATTGGATATCCTGAAGGATTTTACACAGAAGAATGACATTAGCTTCTTTTTAGAGTCATCAAAACTCAGGCTTTGGAGACAGATTGAGACCAGGGTGTTACTCATGGTTCAGCCACTTGGTGGCTGTGTAAGCTTGGACAATTTACTTAAGCTCCTGAAGCCTTGGTTTCTTCTTCTTTTTTAAAAAGATTTTATTTATTTATTTGACAGAGAGAGAGAGACAGCGAGAGCAGGAACATAAGCAGGGGGAGTCGGAGAGGAAGAAGCAGGCTTCCCGTGGAGCAGGGAGCCTGATGCGGGGCTCGATCCCAGAACCCTGGGATCATGACCTGAGCCGAAGGCAGACGCTTAACAACTGAGCCACCCAGGCACTTTGTTTCTTCTTTAAAACTGAAAACAAACATAAAACCCTACCTACCTCATAGATATTATTGTTTTTATTTTCTGAGAATTAAATGAATACCATTTGTAACATTCTTAGCACAGGGCCTGGTACATAGAAAGCCCTCCAATCCTGATGGTTACTCTTTACCAGCACTCATCATTATTACTATTGTAAAAATTGCTCTGGGAGTGGTATGCAAGGTGAGTCAGAGGTAGGGTTAATAAGCTGGAGGAAGGGAGACTGCTTAGGACGCCTCTGGAATAATCTAGGAAAGAATATTCTATTTTTATTTATTTTTTTGTCCAGTATCCAGCTGTCATTCAGAAGGAATAAAAAAAGTTTGTGGAATAAATGAAAAGGAAGACTGAGCAGAATTTAATGATTGATTAACTCAGAGAAACCAGGGGGAGAGTAAAAAGATGACTTTAAATCTTCAAGCTTGGGTGACTGCAGAGTTCTGGTACTGTTGACACAAAGAAACCTTTTCTCTCCCCACCCCATGGCTCAGCTTTCTCAGACCATTGCTCGCCTGACACCTTCGGATGGTCACCCGCTTTTTTCCATTTCATTTATTAGCTCAGTGACTGTGCTGTGCACATCTGCCACTTTGTCTTTTTCTAGAATGCCTTGTCATGACCATAATGGAGGTATATCTGAATTTAAAAACTTTGAATTTTTGAAGTCTCAAACTCCACTTACAAATTGGGTTTGAATACCCCTCTCTAGCTGCTTCCAAATCTCATTTCATTTTTAGATCCTACAGATGTCTCTGGAAAGACTGGCATCCTATGCCTCTATATGGGGGCATTAATAGAATCCCACACTTTTACAATTAATATTGTGTCTGAAACAAAATATACTTATGGCTTCTCAATATTATATAATTGCCATTTTCTCTTATATGTAGAATTATATTTTCGGTCCCATGTTACAAACAAACAGACAACCCAAAAGTGGCTCAGCTTTCGGCTTTTCTTTTACTGCTAAGTTGGTGCTTCTGCTCTAACTCTGAAGACAACTGGAAAAACCTGGGAATTTGACGTGAGGTCTTGTTCTAGCCAGGTCATCTGTCCAACATGAATGACTGATTTTAGTACCAGGTAAGAGCAGATGGGGCTGAAGCCATGGCCATGGTTCCCTGGGTTTTTTTTCCCCCTGTTTTGCTTGAGTTTGATTATTCTGATTACTAAAAATGCCTTGCTGTTTGTCAAAGAACAGGAATTTTGAGGTTGTGCTGAGGCTTGGTTAGCCAGGTCAAGCCTCCAGTAACATATATAGAGATTGTTTTTTTAGAGTGGAGAATTTTAATAAATGTCTTATACGACACATCATAAGTGTCGTATAAGTGACACATCATAAATGAGTTGAGAGTGGTCTCTACTCGTGAAAATGGTGGTGTGTTGATCTGTCCACATTCTCTGCCTTATTGTTCTTGGGATCCAGAGCACACATTTGTGAGTCAGCTGTCGCAAACAAGAGGAAGTAGAGCAAACCCCACTGCCCGTCAGGATGGCTGTCTGATTTCAGTGTCATTAGCTCCTGAGGTCCTACCAATGAAGTTAGTCAGAATTCCTGTAGACCCACAGCTGCTCACATGCAGCCCTTCTACTCCTTCTCTCTACTGGTCCCCTAATCTCTCTGTATGTGTATGTATTTCAGAAATAGTACGTGGGAGATGGGAAATTAAATGTCTCTGTGGGAAAGAGCAGTGTTTCAGGGTCTCAGCATTATAGTCAGCTGCTCTCGTATTTTTCCAGACTGTAAATATATTTTGAAGCTATTAAAAATCTATTCACAGGGGCGCCTGGGTGGCTTAGTTGGTTAAGCTACTGCCTTCGGCTCAGGTCATGATCTTGGAGTCCCGGGATTGAGTCCCACATCGGGCTCCCTGCTCAGCAGGGAGTCTGCTTCTCCCTCTGGCCCTCCCCCCTCTCATGCTCTGTCTCTCTAGCTCATTCTCTCTCTCAAATAAATAAATAAAATCTTAAAAAAAAAATCTATTCACAATGATGAAAAAAGGTAGGAACTCAATAGTTCTTTCCCAGTTGCCATTTGTCCAGTAACAAATATCTAGACACTTTAATTATCCTTTTAATTTCCCCTAGTGGTGGCAAAATAATCCTACTCATCTTCATGAGCGGGGGAAAAAAATCTGTGCTGGGAACATAGCAAGACAAAAAGCTCCCTGGGCTAGCCTGTTTATCCGGTAGTATAGACTTTGGCAGGGCTTTAAGAGTTTGGCTCCCTGGTGAGGGCGCTGGTCTCTCTTGGGTGTGGGAAGGGAGAGGTAGAGAGGACAGGAATCTCTTTTAAATCACAGAGAAAAGGAAACCAGGAAGTAAGGAGAAATTACCACAGTCAGCTCGTAGCTCAGGATGTTAAAGGCAATAGGCTCAGCTGGTTGGTTAATCATTAGCAAAAAGGAAAGAGCAGTGGGGGTCAGGACCGGCCAGACCACAGAGACGGACCTGAAGCAGGGAGGGAGCTCCCGGCGGAGGCAAGATGCGATCTTACCTGCAGTTCACCTCTTTCTCTTATTAACTTTACCTCGGGACATAAAGCAAGATGACTCTTCTGTTCGCAGACGTTTGTCTAAATAAAGCCCTCTTAATTTTATTTTTGCTGTGGGATTCCTAAGCAGACAAGAAGAAAAGGCATCTTTCCCCGAGCAGCCTCCCAGCTCCCACTCAGTTTGGCATTGGGGCAGCAGCTCCGGCCACAGAAAGCAAGCAGGTGCGTGTTCCCAAGCGGGGATCACTGCAGGCAGGTCTGCCCCTTGTGAAACAGGGCTTTGCACCCTCTCGGAAGCCGGGGGAGTTGGTGCTGACTTCCAAGCTGCCTGGTGGAAGAAGAGAAAGTGGATCTGCAGAGACTGAGGGGAGAGGGAGAAGCCCCCCTCCCCTCCTCCCAACCACAGCACCATGGGCAACATTTGTCTGAGGTTCTGGGCGAACTTGCGGCCCTGCCTCCCCTGCTTGTTCCAGGTGGCCGACAAGCCGGCGGTGGTGATTGAGAACCCAGGGGCCCACTGCTCCCCCGATCCTCCCCAGTCGCAGAGTCAGGAGCCCAGGAGAAGCCACGGCCACTACTTTGTGGCTCTGTTTGATTACCAGGCGAGGACCGCAGAGGACCTGAGCTTCCGCACGGGCGACAAGCTCCAAGTCTTGGACACTTCCCACGAGGGCTGGTGGTTTGCCAGGCACTTGGAGAAAAGGGAAGATGGCTCTGGCCAACGGCTACAGGGCTATATTCCTTCTAACTATGTGGCTGAGGACAGGAGCCTGCAGGCAGAGCCGTGAGTAGTACAAACCCACACTTTCTCACCTCTCTGAGGGCGGGTAATGAGTTTTCCTTCTTACCTATCCGCAGCCCCCTCATTTCCAAAGAGCTGCCCAGAAAGTAGGAGGAAGCCTTGGTAAGAACCTCCTAATTGAAACACACCTCTCCTGCTAAGGGAGAGTGAGACTGGCAGGTAATTGTTGTGGAAATGACTTCTATTACAATATGTATATCCATGGGCCCTGGGTGTGAATCTTCATCCATGTAAACAAATGGTGCAATTAATGCCCTACCTTTGGTTTGGCTTAAAATAAGTCATGCCTCACTTTAATAATAGAACTGCATTTCATTTGCAGGTATATCATAGATCTTCCTTAAATCTTTCAAATCTGAAGTCCAGCTCTCTCTCTTTTAAAACTTTTAAAGCATCAACCCCCAACCCTAACTCTAATTTTAATCCTTTTTCATTCTGTTAGGCACACACAGGGCCAACTAACATACAGGGTAACATTTAGAAGATGCTGATTTTTCACTACTTTTTCTCAGTAAAATCATGACTAGGCTTTTTTCTTTGAGTACCAGATATGGACTTAGGCTACCCAAATTGTGATAGTTTGGAGCTTTTATTATGATTAGAAACTGGCCAGCTACAGACACTTAGTAAGTTTTAACAAGGAAAATATAATGGCAGTATTTCCCCAGAGGAGGCGATAAAGACTACTCTGATAGTTGAAAAAAAATCCTGTGAATTATGATGGACCCACAGAGGAAAATTTTATATACTTATCCACTCATCCATCCATCCACCCATCCGTGCATCCATGCATCCATGCATCCATGCATCCATCCATGCAAGTGCCAGGCACAGTAGTGGCGTGGTGAGTGGGGGAGGAGGGAGGTTAGGCTAGTGGTGGTTGACTATAAAGTAGGTAAAGCAGTCTTGACAATGGATACTTGAGGTTTGGTGGGTTGAGAAGCAAGTGGGGACTGTTACTCCCTAACTTTGTTCCTGCCTGGTTCCAGTGAAACCCAAGACTGGGAATGTCTCTCAGACTCATTTTATAGAATGGATCCTTAGTAGAGGAACGAACCACTGGGGATTCACTCATTTTCTCATACGGTTCTCCTTTTTATGAGAGCTACAGCATCCTTTACTAGCCCAGGGAATAAAATGGCAAGGAAGTGCCATTGGGGCAGTGCTGCTGCTTTCTAAACTCAAATACAAATACAGAAGGAGGTTTGGTAATTTTTGAGATTCTTTCCAACACCAGGAACCTATACATGTTAAGAAGGGTCTTATTTTATGCCCAAATAGAAATGAATTGAAATCTAGACTTTTGAGGAATGGAATTGTTCTCAAATGAGAAAATCATCTGCGTAAACATTGTTTTCTGTGTTGATCTATAGGAAATATCTTATTCATTGAATTCTTACTTATGTGCATTTGTTTTTACTACTATATGATTTACAGATACGGTATGGTAAGATATGGTATTATGTATGTTTTATATTCAGCGTAACATGCATACTATACGAATGAATACTAGAATATTTATATTAGAGTCTTGAACTCATAATCTACTAATATTTTTATCGTTCTATTTTTTATTCATCATGATAAGTGTACTCTTTAATCTCCACCCCATATTTCTCCCATCCCCCCATCCACATCCCCGCTGGTACTCATCAGTTTGTTCTCTCTAGTTAAGAATCTGTTTGTTGATTTCTCTTTCTCTCTCTCTTTCCCTTTGCTCATTTGTTTTGTTTCTTAAATTTCACATATGAGTGAGATTATATGGTATTTGTCTTTCTCTGACTTACTGATTTACCTTAGTTTTATATTCCCTTGCTCTATCCATGTTGCAAATGGAAAGATCTCATTCTTTTTTACAGGTGTATAATATTCTGCTATCTATCTATCTATATCCATCTATCTATAGATATCTATGTAAATATCTGTATCTATCTATCTATCTATCACATCTTTATCCATTCATCTATCAGTGGACGCTTGGGCTGCTTCCATAGTTTAGCTATTGTAAATAATGCTGCAATAAATATAGGGATACATGTATCCCTTTGAATTAGTGTTTTTATATATTTTTTTGTAAATACGAATAGTATGATTACTGGATTATAGGATAGTTTTATTTTTAATTGTTTGAGGAAGCTCCATACTATTTTCTACAGTGGCTTCACCAGTTTGCATTCCCACCAACAGTGCAAGAGGGTTCCTTTTTCTCCGCATTCTCACCAACACTTGTTGTTTCCTGTGTTTTTGGTTTTAGCCATTCTGACAGGTGTGAAGTGATATCTCCTTGCATTTCCCTGATGATGAGTGATGTTGAGCATCCTTTCATGTGTCTGTTGGCCATCTCTATGTCTTCTTTGTAGAAATGTCTGTTCATATCTTCTGCCCATTTTTTAATTGGATTATTTGGTTTTTGGGTATTGAGTTGTATCAGTTCTTTATATATTTTTGATTCTAACCCTTTATCAGATATGTCATTTTCAAATATCTTCTCCCATTCAGTAGGTTGCCTTTTAGTTGTATTGATTATTTCCTTCGCCGTGCAGAAACTTGTTATTTTGATGTAGTCCCAATAGGTTAATTTTGCTTTTGTTTCCCTTGCTTTGGGAGACATAGCTAGAAAAATGTTGCTAGGGCCAATGTCAGAGAGATTACTGCCTGTACTCTCTTCTAGGATTTTTATGGTTTCAGGTCTCACGTTTAGGTCTTTAATCCATTTTGAGTTTATTTTTGTGTATGGTGAAAGAAAGTGGTCCAGTTTCATTCTTTTGCCTGTAGCTGTCCAGTTTTCCCAACACCGTTTGTTGAAGAGACTGTCTTTTTCCCATTGTATATTCATTCCTCCTTTGTTGAAGATTAACTCACCATATAAATGTGGGTTTATTTTGGCTTTTCTGTTCTATTCCATTGATTTGTATGTCTGTTTTTTATAATCAGTACCATACTGTTTTAATTACTACCACTTTGTAATAGAGTTTGAAATCTGGAATTGTGATACCTCTAGTTTTGTTTTTCTTTTTAAAGATTGCTTTGGCTATTTGGGGTCTTTTTTGGTTCCATACACATTTTAGGGTTCCTTGTTCTAGCTCTGTGAAAAATGCTGTTGGTATTTTGATACAGATTGCATTGAATTTATAGATTGCTCTGGGTAGTATAGACATTTTAACAATATTTGTTCTTCTAACCCATGAGCATGGAATGTCTTTCCATTTCTTTATGTCATCTTGAATTTTTTTCACCAGTGTTTTATAGTTTTATATTTGCAGATGACATGATACTATATATAGAAAGCCCTAAAGACTCTACCAAAAAAACCAAAAAACCAAAAAAACTACTAGAACTGATAAATGAATTCAGCAAGTCTCAGGATACAAAATCAATGTACAGAAATCTGTTGAATTCCTATACGCTAATAATGAAGCAGCAGAAAGTGGAATTAAGAAAACAATCCCATTTACAACTGTACCAAAAACAATAAAATATCTAGGAATAAACTTAACCAAAGAGGTGAAAGACCTGTACTCTAAAAACCTTTTAATCTACTAATTTTAAATGTATTCAATATATATAATTGCTTAGGACCTCTGCTTGCTCATCTATAGGGTCCCTGGGGTCACGTAGATCTCTGGGTTCCCCGATGGTCTGGGAACCTGAGCTCTTAATATCTCATATGTAGTGGTTTAGCTACACTCATACTTGACAAAACAGCAAATGCTGAAGAAAACAAGTAAACTGAAATAAGACAATTCAAAAGTGATAATAGTCTGGGTAACAGGTGCAAGCAGTGTCCTTTGCTTATTTAGATTATATTTGCCTAACAAACACAAAATAAGATGAGTAAAATATTGTGGTTATTTTTTTATTCTCATGGGCTATCTGTAACCAAGAATACTTTTTCTTTTCTGCACATAACTCCTGACATTTTTCCTCTTGGAAATGGTTCTCAGCAGTATTCCTGTGCGTCACTACTGACCTGTAGTGGGCTCCCCTTGAGATCTTCACATCCACTGGAATAAAAACTTGATGCCCAGAAGATGTTGCCACTGTGCCTCTTGGTCAACGTGGACCATTTCTTTTCATTTAAGTGTACACCATGGCCTTCATCTATGAACAGAGGTTATTAATGAGAGTTCTTGCCACCAAATGGCTAAATTCCTTCAATACTTTTGGTGCAGGTAGCTGCAGCCTCTAGAATTCCAGTCCATTTCAAGTGGTAGTGATTTGAACTTAACAGTTAAGCAGTTAACAGTCTTCTGAGTGAGGGTGTCCAAGTGGCCCACACAGTGCCTTAGTACCTGGGGAATTACACAAAGAAGTCTTTTAATATCTTTCTTCATTGAGTGTTTCAAAGTTACACTTCATTTTTTTCCTTTCAAATACTGTGGAAGTTAATGTAGTTTATTTTACAATGAGCTCAGTATATAGCATTAAGTAAAGATTATTGTTTATATTTGCCTGTGTGAGATGGGAGGCAATGGGAAACCAATGAAAACTGAGTCATCTAATTCCTAAGTAGACTAGTTTAATGCATGCATATTAGTATTTATCTGTTTGTGTCTTTATTCTTGACTTGCTGAAATGAGAAAACAATGCAAATACTTCTGGAGTTACCAATGTCAGGGCAAAACAGTTGAAGGTTTTAGCTTTTTTTTTTTGTTTGTTTTTTTAATACTAAGAGGTAGAGATGTTAAAAAAAGAACTATGCTATTGTTAAAAGATAAACCAATTTAATACTTGATTGTTATTACACTTTGAAATAACTTTTCTGAATATCTTGCATTAAGTGATATAATAAAGCCTTTCTTAATGACTTATTTTGTCTCTAGGAAAAATTATTATATTTACCTTAACTTCAATTTGAACTCCTAGGTCCTTTCATAGATGAGTGCTATTCTTCAACATCTTCAACATGGAATTTCTCAAAAGCCTTGCTCTTAGAGTCTGATTACTCAGAACTCTGCATTTTTTTCTTTTTTTTTAAATTT